GCTACTATTCGATTTCAGTCTTTGTCAATTACTCTTTCATAATACTCACTTGCATACATTTTTGCATATAGTCTTAAGAGAAGTCTGTCTATTTGTTATACAATCCTAAGAGTATATTCCATTTTCTAGAGTCTAAGAAACTAAATTCTTTTAAAATTTGCGAAACCTTGACATTTTAGAAATATGACTTTAAAGGATTCTAGGTTGAAATGTTACACACGATTCGTCCGACTCGATTAGAAACATTATGCTGAACTTTTATAGCACATGCGTGCAAACCTATTATCATCTAAACTGAAATAAAATATATACATTCATTCCTCTTTATTTACAAACAAAAAGTATATATAGTTATCATATAATTGTCTCTCTTCTTTCGCTCCATTCTAATTTAAACGATAACCATACCCTTTCAAATAATAAAGTACCATTGATGTATACTTTAGATTTTCTGGAAAATTAAATAAAAATTTAATAAAAGAAATGTCACGCTATTCAAAGTTATCATTATTTCAGTCTTTCTCTTTTCGTATAAAAAAAACGTTATAAACAAAAATCCACTTTTCATGCCTACAAAGTTGTTTCTTTCATGCTGTTTGAATGAGTGATTCCATGAATATGCAATAAATAATCATATTATCATACAGTGAGAGCTTCTGGTCCGCCATTTTTCTCAGAGCAGATAGTAGAATACCTGTGGGTCTCTCCACTCTCTTATCTGCCTACTGCGCATGCGTTTTATTTAGCTCGATTCATTTCAGAACAACTATAGCATATTGCTCGGTAGATCCATAACAGATGCGTACGTACAGATCCATTTCCCAAATAAACAAATAACATCGATATACTTCGAAGCATAACAATAATTATGCATGGCGGGGTGTGCACGAGGACATCGTAATACTCGAGGCAGACGAACAAATTAGAAACTTGCTTCAACGACGACCGTCGTCGTCTGTAGCTTCGATCTTTTCGCTTAAAGAGATACTAGAACGAACAAAGGAACAAAATGTTTAAGGACTTCCTTGCAAATCGGTCTCCATTCGAAGTTCTTTTACGCCTAACGTGTAAATGTGTTCGATGTGATCACTGTTATCAGCGGAACATAATTCATTGGACCGTCGTACAGATGCGTATAAAAATAATTCTCAAGGTAGTAAAGAAGAATCATGAAAACAAGTGGAACGAGTTTCCGAAGTGAATTCTATTCGCGACAATGTTAATAATCTAATAAAATCAGAGAGAAAGATAAAATAACGAGTAATAACGTAATAATAATAATATTAATAATAATAGTAATAATGATAAAGATTAATAATAATAATTATAAATGTCGTTAGACTCTATATTGCACTAGAATTTCCTTCCATTACCTAGTAGAATGGCAATAGACTATTGCTCTAGAAAATACTTATCCCTTTACGTATGTACAATTTAAAAATTACTACCATCCTCCGTTTACTTTTGACTATTACAATAATATATCGCCGTCTTTGCCGAACATCCTCGTGGTATTGCTCGATGCACGCTGATAATCAAGCACGATCACTTTCTCGTCGTACATCGTACTCGTAACGGGATTCGAACTGTAGTTCGCGGTTGGTTCGTGATCGAACAGCTCTCCAGACCGTGTTCTCGCGCGTGTAACGCCCGGCGGTTGCTTCGCCTCTTTAAACGCTGTTCCGGGTGGAAAGCAATTCATTTTAAAAATTCTGTCGAGCATTTTCGGCGTTGCACACACGCGGAGGCGACAGTCCTGCGTGCGCAGTCGTACGAGGATCTCGTTCGTTTCTCTTCTGTTTTTTGTTTTTTTCTTTCGTGAGTCGATCGAGTTTCGTTGTCACCGATAGACAGCGAAATCGCCAGGAAACAAAAATAAATCGCGCTAGGCCGCGAAATACAGCGAACAGTTCTCGAGAGTCGAAAGATCAATTTTCTCAATGTACGATGAACACGATCCGTCGCGCTCCCAATCGCGCGCGAGCAGGCGCGAGCCTTTGTCCCTTTCATTGTCGAACGCTCAACGATCTTGCCGTTGCAAAATATCAGGTTTCTCTCTCTTCCCTACTCTCCCGTCCGTTATCTTTGTAATTTTTTGTTTTCGTTACGTCTCGCACGAGCGCACAGATTACTCCGGCGCGTTGGGAACGCGCGGTCGATCACGAGGAATACAAATAAAGTTCGTTAATTCGTCGACTAATGCTACAGTATTGCTTCAATATGATATGATACAGTCTTTTCACTGATTGTCCAAAATCACTACATAACACGTTTTCGTAATTCTCTCTTGCTTTCTCGTGTGATTCCCCACCCTTCTTCCTTTCCTCTCTCTCTCCTCCTCCCCCA